AGCAGGAATTCTTGATCTCTTGCAGGCAAGCAAGGAAGTTGGGGGTTTAGAGTATAACACCAACAGGTATGCACAAGGGACGTTTTTTCCTCTTACCCATAAACAAAAATTGCTCTTTTGTGGTTTTGTGTGTGTGAGTGAGAGAGAGAATGAATTTAGCAGCTCAGTAACTGCTTTTTCTTCAGTAAGCAAATTCTTCCTTTATTCTGTGATCTGGAGGGAGAGGTGGGAAAGTGTGTGGGAAAGATTTTGGTGGTATAATTTAAACAAATAGAGGCATTTCACATCTGTAAATGATGAACATCCATTTTAGCAATAATACTGTAATAGATGAATCATTCAAAAGGAAGAGAGAGCTCAGTGAATGCAGCTTGTGGGCGGGAATAATGTTTTTTAGTGTAGTAATAATGTAAGAAAGCCATCTAAATGACCAGCAGTCCTTCCATAAGGCATTGTAAGATGCCATGCAGTTCCCCAGATATTGAATGTTGGTAAGAAGGGAATAGGAAACTGTCTACCTTCGGTCGTCATTCTTCTCCCCACCAAAATACATGACTTGGAAAAACCAAACTCTTTCATGGGTACTTCTCTACCTAAAATGGAAGTGCATGCCTGGGATTGGCTGTGTGTCGTATGGGACCACTGTAGGTGGACACTGAAGTTGGCACTGGGTGGTCTGGAATGTGGTTAATAAGGTACAGCACTAGATCTTTTAGTAATCGAAGCAATGAGTAGTGAAAAGAAATGCAGGATTGGAAAATATGGTTCCCAGACTGAAGTGCTGCAGTGCAGGACTGTCTGGAGCAAGGGTTTTGTTTGGGCCCATCTCAAAACAAAGGTAGGGTTCACCACCTCCACTCTTTACGAGTCTGATCTTAAACTACTGATAAAGAATTAGGCAATAGAAGTATGTGGGTTGTTTGGAAAGAAGCTAGTGAGACTTCACGTATAGAAATGTCTTAACTCAAACCTCAGGAACAAATCCCCAGGGAGGGGTTTGGGGAACTCAGCTGAGTTCGTGGCTTCCATGTACAAGAATGGCACTGCAGACATGAACTGCTACATCTTATGCCCTCTGCTCGCTAGCAGTCTGCTGATCAAGCAGATCTTTGCTGCTGCAGTTGTAACTGCTTGATCTGGCCCCTGTCTGTAGAAAACCAGAGGTGTTCACCTAAGTGCGCTCTGCTGCTCCACAGGGACCGCAGCCTTGGTACTGTGGGGAGCAGTGGGCTGTTGGTAACTTGCTGGCACTGGTTTCTAGCCTCTAAATGTGCCTGCTGTGCAAAGGGATTGTCCTCTGAAAGGTGAGAGTGGCAGGCCAGGTGGCGATACGGGAAATGATGTGAAACGTACGGTAAGGCTATTCTTGTTTCGCGTTTTAAGAAGGCAGTTCCGTCTCCACTCTGCCTTCATTTGAAAACGGCCTTCACCAAGCAGGCAGGCCGGTCAGCCTCACCTCCATCCCGGGAAAGGTGATGGAGCAGCTCATCCTGGAGGTCATCATCAAGCAAGTGGAGGAAAAGAAGGTTGTCAGGAGTAGTCAGCATGGATTCACCAAGGGGAAATCATGCCTAACCAATCTGATAGCTTTCTACAGTGGCATGACCAGCTGGGTAGATGAGGGGAGAGCCGTGGATGTTGTCTACCTGGACTTCAGCAAGGCTTTTGACACTGTCTCCCAGAACATCCTCCTAGGGAAGCTCAGGAAGCGTGGGCTGGATGAGTGGTCAGTGAGGTGGATTGAGAACTGGCTGAATGGCAGAGCTCAGAGGGTTGTCGTCAGCGGCGCTGAGTCTGGTTGGAGGCCTGTAACTAGTGGTGTCCCTCAGGGGTCAGTACTGGGCCCAGTCTTGTTTAACTTC